TGTACATAATATTAATGCTCATGTAACAGACATAAATATCAAAGGATGCATTGAAAGAGAGAACGTTGTAGTGAGTTCACAGCAGTTAAAGAGATTAAGGAGATCTTTGACTAACACCATGAATGGAACAGAATAGATCAGAATAGAATGTTGGAGGTTTTAAATATGTTTACAGAAATAATCATTGTTCTCACCTGAGGAAGTATTTTTTTCTTCTTGTTTGCTGCTGCATTGGGACCAGAGAACAGTTTTTCCAGAGCTGCTAGAGCAGCACTGGCCTTTGCTACCTTTTTGTTGGGGCCAGCCCCACGGAACTTCTGTCCATCTACCTCCACCTGGCATGAGTAGAACAGAGAATATTGTAGATAGGAAGTATTTATCACGCACAAGCCTATTTATTAAGATAAACAGGAAGCACTCCACAATAATGTGGGTGAAAGTGTTCTTTATTTAGCGGGAAAGCTGAGAGTATATGAACAGGACAGCTTGTTTAGCCACGCGGTCTGCCAATGCTGCTAATCAGTCAGAGGAGTGATGGAGCAGGCCGTGTCCGTGAACAGTACACGCCACAGAGACGCCACAGAGACGCCACAGAGACGCCACAGAGACGCCACAGAGACGCCACAGAGACGCCACAGAGACGCCGCAGAGACGCCGCAGAAACACCACTACTCCACAGCTCTACAAATCAGCTGGTTTTTTTTAAAGTGAGGGCAGTTCTAACGCTCCAAACCTGAGAGCATTAGCACCCGTTCAGTAGAAACCATTATTAAATATGTATTTGCACGGCTCTCACCTCCATCACAAAGCGTTTGTCGTGGCTGCCTCCACTCTCTGAGATCAGCTCATACTTCAGCCCTCGCCGCTTCTCGTTCAGCTCCATGACCGGATTCTTCCCACTTGCCGTCAGTATGGGACCCTGAGTTCTCACCTGTGTTTGAGAACACAAACGCATCAGCTCAGGCCAAGTTCAAACCCCATCTGTTCGGGGTAGTTTTCCTCCTCCTTGGTTTCACAGGTAATTGTTTTTTTCTTCTGTACAGTACTGCTATTTTTTCTTGTGTTCGTAATCCCAGGTTTTCCCAGATTAACCAGACCTATTTCTATGCTGCTCCCAGACCGTTCCCAGAAATGATATTGAGATATTTAGGGAATAGAATTTAAGTTATCATTTTAAGTCATCTGAGGCTTAAATATATCGTATACTGAAATAGCTGTATTGTAATTCACACAGCCAGTCTGACGGGAGGGGGTTGTAGATGTGGGCTGTTTTCTTTAGCCTGGTCCCGGGCTAGGCTTTATGACAATGCCACTTTTTCTTTGTTTTCTGTGGCTTTTCCCTGTCCTATATGCAGATGAAGGTGCGTCTTGTTGACCAAAAGAAGTTGCAGCCTTCTCTGAGGTCAGACATGCTCTCGACAGAAGCTGTGCCGCTTGTGCTCTGTTCTCTAACACATGTCTCCTTGAAAGGCAACCAATTAAAGAATGCCAGAACTTGTCTGTTTGTGTGTGCAAATTTGTCCAGGTTCGATTGTAGTTTAAATCAGCATTAACAGATATATATATATAAAAAACCATTATCACCTGAATTTATAAAACATTTCAGACCAATTTCAAAAATTCTGCCAACTACAGTAAATATATATTTTTTTTAATCTTTCAATCCGGATTCAGAGCTAATCATAGCACCAAAACAGCACTTGTTAAAGTCACAATTTACTTACTACGACCTGCTGATAATTTCTGGATTTGACACAATAGACCACAACATTCTACAGCGGAAACTGGAAGGTGACATCGGTCTCGGAGGAACACCACGTGGCAGGTTTAAATCCTACTTATCAGGTCGGTATCAGTTTGTTAATGTGAACCAAAACTCCTCGTCCTGTTCTAAAGTAAAAGTAGTAAATAAAGTATACGTGCCACAAGGATCGGTACTTGGCCCAATTCACTTCACACTTTATATGCTGCCAAAACTAAAACTCTGAACATCCCTAACCATTGTATTTTTAGTTAATACGAATAACTTTTGTAAAACTTTTGTTTAGAAAAGGTCAAATACGTCATTAACATATTACATAATGTGCTTTTAATTATTATGACTTATTATGATTATTATTAAAACAATGAGCATGAATCACAGGTTTCCATTCTCACCTCGAGTGTGTTGGAACTGTCTGAGGAGTGAGCGGGGTTATTGCTTAAATGTGTGGATGTCTCGCTCTTCCCCTCTCCATCAGATTTCTCATCTGAGCTCAAGGGGTCGAGGTCCGAGTCAAACCCTGTGGGATATCCCATTGCTTGAAGAACCTGAACCAAAACATCAGAGAGAACAACTTCAGTAAAACATGTTAGCAGATACTGAATGTGCAGAACATTCTGGAGCCAATCATCAAAGCAAACAAAATTCCTTTATCAGGTTGAAGGCGAAGTATATTATTGTATTGTGGAAGAAAGAATGTGAAAAAAATTGGGAAAAGGGGAGTAACGGGGGTAGGATGAGAAAGACCCATAAATGGGAATGAAGCAATGGGAGATTATCGCCGCTCTGTGCTCCGGAGAGCGTCTTGGTTCACAGTCACTTTGGGATTACATGGATTTGACCACCATACTTGCACCACATACAAACAACACTAAAATGCAATGAGAATGCTCCTCACAGAATACATATTGGATTGCAGATCTGTGGGAAGCCAAAACCAATTCATCCTAATATTGAAAATCATCAAACCTAACTTCTGATTAAGTTTCTGACAAGACTATAGATCTATGAACAGATCATAACAAACATTTCAGATTTAAAACTCAATATTTTCCATCCTTACTTTAACAGCCACATGGAGCTTGGCGGTCTTCTTGGACGAGCCTGATGCCTCGTAGATGGTTCCGTCGAGGTCCACAGACATAGTGAAGACCGGAGCGTGAACCGGACCCGACTGGGACAGCAGGCGGTACTGCAGCCCCGGCCGGATCTGGTTCAAGCGCATCAGGGCGTTCATTGGCTGGTTGGAGTCTATGGCTTTGCTGTCCAGGACTGATGGAGAAGCACAAGAGGTGTGTGGTTATGACAAAGTCAAATTAGATTGATTCAAAAGGAGGGGCTCTAAATGTTGTAGCTATGAGCCTGCGGATGGGACACATTGAACCGAATGGGGGATGCTGCTGGTAAGAGATCACATTTTCAGCTGCTAAAGCAGATAATGTTTTTATAAACAAAATAGCTATTTTTCCTCCTTCTTATTTTACATAAATATCTAATAATGCATCTCCGCTTTCATTAGAGGAGGCTCAAATTAGTCTGTTTGAAAGAGCTGGCGAAGGTTAGGTGGCCTACTAAAACGTTTGCAATCAATACTATTGATCTTCCTCTTTGAGATGAAGGGAAGGTAAAAGAGGCAAACAAGAGGAACCAAATTAGCCTGAAGTGGGGCTAGTTTGTGGACAGAAGAGACCAATCATTTGCAAATATAACAGTGATAAAACAATCAGCGCTCTGGACGTGCTACCTTTTCGCAGATTTCTCTTCATCTTCTTGATGAGGTCCTTGTCATCCATCATGCCGTCCTCAAAGGGCCTCTTCAGCCCTAAGCCTTCACACAAACAGGTGACAGAAAAGTGGCTCATCAGTTGCTTCAGGAGACGTTCCTTGCCAGAATCGTGCAAGCATGACGGAACAAACACACAAGTAGCCTGAAGATAACATACAGGAGAGATAAACCCAAAGTTCACAGCTGAACAAGGGAAAGACATTCACGACTCAAATCTGCAGATCAATGAATCGAGCACAATCTACCATCTGCAAAATCTGCTTATCAAAACTGAGTGAACACCAAGGACGTGCAGTTAGGGCAGGCAGAGCCTCACCATCATAGGAAAAAACTGTTTTTGTCTTTTATCATTTTAGTTATTGTTTTCCACTATCCTATGCTTTGAATGTATTATCGCTGTGGCTCCAAACTAGTTTGGATCCTTTTTGTGGTCAAAATGCTGATTTTCCTATTCAAAGAGATTGCTCAAACCCTCTCACTGGAATGTGCCAAAAAACTCGACGTGCGCTGGTCGTCAAATTTCTGTTTACAAAGTATTAAAAATGTGATCCGACAATACTTGTTAAACTCTTCCAAAAATACATATTTGAAGCTTTTTTTGTAAAATTAACAGGAAAAAACATGTCTATGGTGTTTCATCTTGACACTGCAAAAGGGCATCTGTGTAAAATAATTCAGGTGCACTGTGTATTGACAGGTTTGACTTTTCTATTCCACACATAAGTCAGAAAACTCCACACTCCAGAGAAGTGTCATTATAGAGAACAAGAGAGAAAACAACTGGGAAACAGGGGATTGGACAGTTACACACCTTCTTTATCTGACCAGGGAAACTTCTGTAAGGGCTTGTTGTTTGGAAGAGGATCCATCACCAGAACTTTGTGGATCTGCCCAAAAGCCATTAACCTGAGAGCATGCTGAAATGTAGAAAAAACTTACAAATAAATAATCATCTTTTATAAACCAAAAGGCGGTTCATGTTATTGTCATCCAATGCTTTTCTTAAAGATGCAGTCAATGATTTATCCAGACGCAATTTTTTAAATACTGTGGGGAAAGGTCCCTAAAGTTATGGTGTGTTTTCAGATAGGAATGGACATGCCCTGTTATGGCAAAGAAGAGAACATCAGATGGAAAGGTTGTATAAGAAGACTCGGGACGCAGCCAGGGCTATGTAATGCAACGGCAGTCGAGTTTTGCTAATTGAAAGTTTGTTACTGGAAGCTGTTGCTTGTCAAGTAAGGCAGGGAAATCTCTCACAGATGTGAGCCCTAATGTAGTGTAATGCTTTCACATTTCAAGCCAGGCTTTGACACAGACTGCGTCACTACAGAAACAGTGTTCATGTGTGCTGGGAGTTGGGTTTGGTGGAAGGGAGGAGGAGTGGTTTTGACTCTGTGCTACTCGGATGCTAAAGCTAAGCTAACCTGAATCCCTTACTGCACCTTTAAAGCCCAGGCTAACTATATTTTCAGGTTTAATTGGTCCAAACATGACTTTGGGAATGCTTTTGTTTACTGGCTCAGCATGAGATGGACAAACACTGAGAGATAAGCAGAGGAGCGAGGTGGCTCTCCTAATATAAATCCATCAGGGATGAGGAGTGTCTCAAATATTCATGAGTCGCACTGTGGCTCATTGACAGAACAGCTCCGCTCTCCTATCTGCTCTTGTATCTGCTCCAATACAATCATCCCCATTGACATTCCAGCCTCGTCCATCCTGTCTTCAAAGGAAATGGATGGCAGGATCAGCTAAGCCGGGCAGCTCAGAGGCCATCCTGTTCCCCGTGTGTCTGTGTACGTGCCAGTAGGACAACTTGACCTCCCTACACTGTCCAGTGTCAGAAATAAATCTATCGTTTGCGTTGGCTATCGTTACTCACACTAATCATTAACCTTCAGCAGCATGACTAAGATGCTCACTGAGACAGGGAAATTAGCGGTGCAGTTTGGGCGATCTGTCTGGTCAGAGATGCGCTGCTTACTGGTATGTGCACACTGACAGCTCGTGTGTGTACCTGTGTGTGTACCTGTGTGTGTACCTGTGTGTGTACCTGTGTGTGTACCTGTGTGTGTACCTGTGCGCTGTAGGTGATGGCCTCAGCCTGCTGGGCGCTCATGTGGGTGAGGGTGTTTGTCGGCTCCTTCTCGCAGGGGTCGTGTAAGCCCGGGCCACCTATATGCAAGAGTCATAGATAAGACTTTCGCTCACATAAATGATTATATGCTATATAATCCTACAGATACATGTATGATAAACAATATTACTGAAAATACTAACACTGACACAATTATTTATAAAGAAGAAATAACAGTCCCACAAAACTTTCCTTTCAATTTGAGCTGTCATAATTATTTTTCTGCACTTGTAGGGGGTGGGAATGAATAACCTTTTTTCGGACTCATCAGTAACAAACTAATGACAGATGAAAAATGTGTTGTATAAGATGGTGTATGATGTAATTTGTATGAATTATATGCATTGTAAATGTTGTAAATACATATGGAAAACTCAATACAAAACCCAAATAAATGAAATTGAATGAAAATGTGAATCTTCAAGAAACAAATGGCAGAATGAAATATCTTGTTCAACATTCTTCAGATCCAGGGTTTTGCTAAAGTAATCAATTTTCAGTCCATGATTTGTACCAGTGAAAAAATGATAACAGTAAAAGTCCATTTCAATCATACAGTGAACCTTGAAAGGACATTTAAGGGGAAATACTTTATCCATTGTAACCTTGAACGAAGGTGAGATGATAATTCAAGAGGCAAAGAGAAAAGAGCAGAAACCATGTGCTTGGCTCTACGAAAAGGTCTCTAAATCTCTCCTTAAGATCTATCAACGGTTGGAGTGTTAATTCTTGTAGTAAAATATTTTTGCTTCAACTTAATTAGAATAATTGTGACTTATAAACTACATTGGATTACCCATACTATGTACTATTTATAATATACAGTTTGATTGTAATTGACTTTGGGGGTGCGGTGCTAAAAAGCCCACTCCTTTTGTGCAGTATTATTACTGTTCAAATAAATAAATAAATCCAAAAGTAGAATGATTATGGTAGTTAAAAAGTCATACCACCCTTAACAAATGCTTGGCTTATTGGTAATTTTCAAACGTTTTAAGACCGAAAAATACCGATCTAAATGAATGTGCTCCACTGTCCAATTATCACTTGTTTACGCTCACTCAAGTCGGTGTGCGTGCCAGAAATACAGATGATGCCACATATGTTTCTCTACTACTTTTTTATATCTCCAACTGTACTTTATGCAGGTGTGTGGATCATAGGTTCTTACCTGGCAGCAGGATGCCCGAGGCCAGGCACTCCATGACTCTCCGCAGTGCCTCCCCGGCCCCGAGAGGCCTATTACAGGTCGCTATGGCCTTCTCACAAATAAGCTCCAAGGGCTGTGGACAAACAAACACACTTTACCAGTGGGGAAAATAACGCTACCATAACATAGACAAGAGGTTCTGGCTTTTGTCCATGTTTTGGGTATAACTACATTTTTTATTTAACTATGTCCCGAGTGTTGAAGCCGTTTCAGATAAGACTTTCTTGAAGGTAATTACAGAGAACTTACCCATCCCTTGAGAGGTTCCCAAGTAGGATGTCTATTGCACATGTCCCTAAGTATCCTGAGAACTATAATGCAGGACTTGAGTCCGTTCACTCGAGCCTGAGAGAGAAAATAAAGAAAACATTAAACCCTATGCAAAGCTGTAAAATGAGAAAAAAAGAAACAGCCTTTGTGCAAACATAGAGTATAGTATAGTACAGCCTGCTTTTCACCACAAAGCCACAGTTATAATGAAGTGATTTGAACTGTCTGCACCTTCCCTTTGCAAACTGGATATAGATTTCCTCCCTCCTTCTTATTTTTCTCTCGACTAAAAATGCTTCCTTTTAGAGCTGTAGAGCTATGTATGAATGTTTTTGTAAGTAAGGTGGACAGATGGGAAAGGGGGATGGTTGGAGGGGATAGGGGAAGCAATGACATTCTGTACAGAGCAGGCAGGTTCACATAATAGGCAAAAGAAAAATGAATATCAACCATTGCTTTTGTAGCCTTACGATGTAATATAAATGAATGACCATACATTGGATGGCATTTGTTAAATTGTGTGTGTTAGGATAATTGGGGTGATACAGACATATTGACTAATAGCTCATTATCGAGTCAACTGCCGTGGAAAATTTCGTCAGGCTACAAGAAGCATCAGGCATTGAAGACAGGAAGTGAGTGGGTGCCGACCTGGAACCACTTGGCGTGTCGCAGCGCTGCCAGGGCCAGCAGACATCTGTGTCTATCCAGCACCTCCCCCTCCTCCTCCTCAGCCTCCACTCTGAGCGCAGCAGCCCCAAACACTGCCACAAAACAATAACAACCCAATATAGAGAAGGTGAAACGCACACGTCCGCTCAGATAGTCAGACGGTGTGTGTTTTTTTCAAATGGTGTGTGTGTGTATGTAGGCACGCACACATGAAGTCGGCGTGTGGATGCGCACATACACACACACATGCATGGATATCTGGTACATATAGGGTGCTTTTCATGCCATAAAGTTGCCCCACTCGCCTGGAAGAAAGCGCACTCTCGCCAATCTGTGATGAATGCTTATAAAGGTCGGATCGCATTATCATGGAGTGCCATTTTCAACACCGCGATCAATCTTGCGCCGGTTAAGGGCGGCGCGCCTTAACATCCATTGTACAAGGTTAAACAGAATGCACCGTGCCTTGGTGTGCATTGGTGTGTTGTAAATAACCAACATTACTCAGCCAATTTTGCTGGTTTTCATCCATCTAGACACTGACAAATCAGTGAAACAGGGAAACCTGGATTAGGATGTGAGAGACAACTTTGTGGAATGGAGAGCGCCCCACGGACATACACCAAACAAATACTCAAAGAGCGCTTGATTTACGGAGATGCGGATGCAGCCAAGACACAGCCCAGCGTGGTAAATCAATCCCCTCTTTATGTATTTGAGAAGAATTCAGTTATTTTGATCCAGTCTTCGCCAGGCAGGAGTCAAAATAGGAGTTTGCCGCTTAGAGGGGTTACTTAAGGTGCACTTGATTTCGCTTGTGGACAGATGGTGCAGAGAGAGTAAATGAAACAAAAAAACTGTCAGAGCAAACACAGAATCAAGCGCTCCTAAAGTAGAACTGAAAAATAAGGTCTACGATAGTTTGGCCCAAGTCTGGGGCAAACACGAGACAGGAGGGGTCAAGGCAGGGTTTAGTCAGAGCGTTGTGTTTGTACAGACTTTTGTTTTGATGTGTGTTTGATTCATGCCCCACAGACACCACTGACTGGATCAAATCACTATGGATAGGTACAGTGCGCCAAAGAAAACAGTAAATGAATGAGTGATCACATGATTTTTTCAAAAGATTATTCACCACATTGGACAAGCTAAATATGCTTCCTTAAGTTGCATTATCAATTTACTTTGAGCAATTGCAAACAGCTTTATAAAAGTCCAATGCCTCAGTAGCTGTCATGTATGATTCATCAAGTGGCAAGGAAGATCTGGCCAATAAAAACTTCCGAACATTAGCATGAATGAAGCTATGAACATCTCCAGATACGTCTTTCATGAAGGTACAATGTGGAAAACACAAAAGTATATCTTGAAGAATAAAGCATGTGTCCTTCGATGGAAACATGTGCTGATCTAAGTCAATGGTCAAAACATGGAAAGCAGGAGAGCCTAATTCTAAACTGATTTTGCTTTTGGATTGGTTGCTACACATTTTCTGAGTGGTGGTCAAATCCAAGGTTGATGGGAGGGACCACTCTGCTGCTAAAGTGGATCATTATCGTCTCCCTCTGTCAGTGGGAACTCTCACTCTGCAGTCTTTCATCAACATCTGTTTTGTGTTGCAGAAAAAAACATTTCAGCTGTGGTTAAGTTGAATATTCATCTGACATGCCGACTGACAATAACAAGTCCATAACAAAAGTTCACAATGCCACTTTTCTGCCTCCATAGATACTGTATGTACCGTGTGAGCCCAATGGTGAAAATAGTAACATTATTTTATCATTTGTCATTAAATCTTCTCCTGTTTGTCATCTATCGTGCACACTGGGTATTTTTACACAAACAATGTGTTTTTATTTTACCTGCAAATGGCAACTAAACTAAATCTTCATCTTAATCGTTATTACAGCCTCAAACGTGGTTCATATATTCATTGACTAAAACTAATATCTCACCTCAAAAAACATGTCATTCAGGTTCCTTTAAATATGGTTAAAAATATAACTTATAATTATACTTATATACTTATATACTTACTCATAAAAAAATAAAAGTGTTTTAGAGGTGGCTGCAAATCGATAGAAAGATTTACAATTATGTCTGATTTGAAGGGCCGCTATAAATAAGCTGAAATACATGTTCCAGGTGTTTAATTTAAGGTTTGGTTTAAAAAGGGGAGTACATTAAAAGGATTATTTATCATTTCTACAACAACCTCATAAAGCATGCCTTAGTTACATGATGCATAGCTGTAATTGTGCATCTGTCTGGTGTCTACCCAACTGTTTTAAGATTATATGGCTTCCTTCCTGGGATGCATCTACCCGTGAACAAGAACCTCTCCATCTCTTCCTGGGCTAATGGATTCTGAGCAATTAGATGGGTACCTCGGTGTCACTTACAAAATACAGAGTGTGAATTTTTCCTGCTTGGGGCTGTGCGTATCTCTGATGGGCTGGGAGAATATACGAGCAGTCATCTTCATCTTAGCACGGCGTTTGGCGTGATGTACGGCTAACCTTGTGCAATCTCTCTTCTGGGTTTGAGCCCCCGGTGTCTGCGAGGGGAAGGGGCCCGACGATGGATGGGCAGACGGCTACAGCTTGGTTATTGATTCTGTTTGGGCAGCCTGCTGGTCACACTTCTCCTCAGGATCAACAACAGCCAATTATCACAAAGCCAGCCAATAGGAGAAGGAGGTTTCAGGCAAAGCAGATTATGAAACCTGAGGACAATAATGACAGCCTCATATCTGCCTCTTGTTGAGTAACTATTTTGTTTAAAGCTTTGCAACATGGAAACGGAGGCTACTCGGGGGTGCCCAGATCTGGACTAGACATGCCTTGGATTTAAGCAGCAAAAATTCAGAAAAGACTTCCTATAAATATGAAACGGACCTTAAAAGCTGGAGAAGCTAACTTGCCAACGACCAAAGACAATAATAGTAATCTATCAGTATACATACGGGATAAAAGCAATAAAAAGCTATGAAAGCCACCAACTTGCTTTCAAAACAGTGTGATCCATATAATTTTGGCGTAAAAACAGACGGAAAAGTAAAAAAAAAAAAAATAGTAACCCTTGTTCAGCCAATCAGCTCTCAGCCAAAAGCGTCAAATAGTGACTCACAGAGCATTTCCTGAAGAAGTATGCCAAAGATTACATTTTTAATCACGTTATTTTATTTAAGACACTTTCTGTATCATTTTGGCAACAATCCCCCAGCTTCGTGTTAATATCATTACACCCCATCTTGCACATTGAATTACTTTGTATAGGAATTGCGCTATAACAAGCTTGTGCTTCTAAGGCCCCGTTCAATCAGAGACACTGTAGAGACGCTGCGGACACGCTACGGATAATCACTTCCTCAACAACATCCTCCTCAGGCCGCCGCCAAGCCTGAAGATCCTCCTCCAACATCATTCTGCATTTAAAAGCAGCAGCAAGAACGGAAACTTAAACTAGAGCTTTGCATGGTTTCGTTCGGACGGGTGAAGTAGTAGAATTCTCCTCCGTGTAGCCCTCTAAGCACACAATGGTGGCGGGTACACTAATGCTAACATCAGTGTACCCGCCACAGTGTTGTTCACGTTTGTTCTCGGCAACTTGTCCAAAATGGTGAGGTCATCGCAGCCACTATGAAACAGCTCCCCACCGCACAGCGTATCTGTTCTGTTCCACTCTGGAGGCTATTTCTCAACGCTTGCGTTTTCACCCCCCTGAAACATGGTCTTCATGTAAACGAAAGGCATATTCCGATACACAATGTTTATCGTCTAACGTTGTACTGTCGCAGCATCTCATATAATCAGCACCTAAATGTCTTCATGATAATAACAATACGATAAAAACTCAACCCTAACCCATTCGGTCTTAATAGTCACATTTTGGATAGCAGATAACAAAAACAATTTCATAACAACCAAATAAGTTTTCAAACTAACTTTCAGCATGAGCCTGATTTACAGTTTTTATTAATTTATTTTTAATCAGTCTCATGAAAATACAACTCTGTGACTATAGCCCAACTTCAATGCATAAGTGTTCATACCTAGGCCATTGCTTGTGTCTTGCTCCTCCAACTCTTCCTCCTGTGCACACTCCTCCTCCTCTTCTACCTCTTTCACTGCCTCTTCCTCCCCCTCTGCAACCTCCTCCTCTTCCTCCTCGAGCTCTTCATCATCGAGGTCGTCTCTCATGGCAGGTGAGGTGAGCGTGATCTTCAGATTGAGTTTGTGATCTGTCGTGGTTTGTACCAAGATGGCGGCCTCTGGCAAACAGCTTGTGACCTCATATTTCTCTTCTGTCAGCTTCTGCGGCGAGTCAAAGAGACAACGGTGTGCGGTCAGAGGACAAGGACACAGAGAAGATCGACTGCATGTTACACTGCCAAAGACATTATCTAGAATTACCTAAATGACAAAATGGGTTCATGATTTAAGCAGATTTTACTTGTAAGGTCATGAATTCAGGATGCAACTTTTTTCAGTTTGTTTTATCATCAAAATAGACTTGGAGTTGTTTTCACAGCCATTCACACTAATATCAGAAAACTTTTGACACAAACATGTAATTCTGCCCCTACGGTCTAGAAGGTTACAGTCCTGTTATACAATGTTATATATGTAACACTGATATCATGCTTAGAGCAATTTTGTGCCCAAAAGTAGTGCCCATAAATTAGTTTGGGCATTTTCTCAAGTAACATGACATTCTTTATGCGGTTAGTTATTTACATTCGTACTACTACATATTAATTAAATTCTAAACTTCTTTCTTCTTTAAAAGGAACTCCATAGTAGTCGACATTTTTGTATTTTACAACTTAAAGTCATAATTAAATGGCCCTAATATGTCAGGCATTAATAAACCATGCTCTTTTCCAATATTTCTTTAACTGACTATACAGTAATTAAGTTCCCAGGTGGATTTGTCTGCATATCTGGCAATCTGAGAGGGAGAAGATGCAGTATCACTTTTGGTCAGAATTTTACATACTGCTTCTTTAACCAGAGTCGTCTCAATCAGCAGATAGGGGACACAAGCGCTACGGGTCTGATTAAGCATTGTCTGGGGTAAATAATTGGGTAGTAACCGATCATCTGGGGCTCAGACTTCGAAACCAAACAGCAAATGTGTCAAAAACAATTATTCTACACATTCTCATGTAAGAAATAGAACTCCAGCCTATTTATAGCGGCATGTAACATAATTTAAACTTGTTACACGCAGACAATTCACCGCTGGTGTAAATTGTCAGGATTGTTACAATGAAAAACTCTTCCATGTGTCTCACCTGGATCTGTGCAGGTAAACTGTGACAGACTGAGTCCAGCAGAGTGGGTGTGGGTTTGTCTCGACACATTAGCACCAGCTCAAGCTCCATGTCTCCTTTGATCAGCAGGCCTTTAGCCACCAGGCCAATCCTCATCACACCACACAGCACGCCGCCGCCGCCAGGCTCCCTGCCAACACACAAAACAACGTCATTTAAAGACTTTTAAACCTGAAGAATATGACAATCTAACTTGAGTCGTTTATTAACCTTAGTGTTCCCTAAGGTTATAAGGTCAGAAGCTTAGACTTTAAATTAGATTTTTCTTAATCTGTTTTATAGGGCTGGGTTTCTTTCACAGGCTGCCGATCTCCATGTGTATTTTTACAATAAAATACCAACTTTTGGGCCCTTATCATCGGTATTGATGTGTTTATTTCATTTATTTATGATACATTTTTAATAAACAAAATATCAAAGCATAATCTATATACATACAGTACAGACCAAAGGTTTGGTTTCTCATTCAATGAGTTTCCTTTCTTTTCATGACTATTGACTGTAGATTCACACCCAGGCTGTTTAAGGGCTGTTTGACCAATAAGGAGAGTGGTGGGTTCTGGGCCAGATGACCCGGCCTCCAGTCACCGGACCTGAACCCAGTCCAGGTGGTTTTAGACCTGAACCCAGTCCAGGTGGTTTTAGACCTGAACCCAGTCCAGGTGGTTTTAGACCTGAACCCAGTCCAGATGGTTTTGGACCTGAACCCAGTCCAGGTGGTTTTTGGGTGTGGCGAAAGGGCCAACAAGTGCTAAGCATCTCTGGGAACTCCTTGAAGACTGTTGGAGACCATTTGAGGTCCTCTTGAAGCTCAAGAGAAGCGCAAGAGTGTGCAAAGTGTTGCTTCATACTTTTTGTTGTTGTAAATAATTCCATATGAGTTAATTCATAGTTTTGATGCCTTCGATGTGAATCTATATTTTTCATAATCATTTAAAAAACTCTTTGATATAACATAAAAATAACGTAAAAATAGCAGGCAATAAAAGAATGATAAACCAATTAGCTATAATTAGGTACAGGACTGCTCCATATCAGGCGCACACATAAGCACACACACACAGACACACACACACGCAGACAGACACACACACACACAGACACGTACGCAGACACAGGCACACACACACACACAGACAGACACACACGTACCCAGACACAGGCACACACACACACAGACAGACACACACGTACCCAGACACAGGCACACACACACACACACACAGACACACACGTACGCAGACACAGACAGACACACACACACACAGACAGACACACACGTACGCAGACACAGACAGACACACACGTACGCAGACACAGGCACACACACACACACAGACAGACACGTACGCAGACACAGACAGACACACACACACACACACAGACACACACGTACGCAGACACTCTCGCGCAAGGGTGGTTTTTAAGAGTGTGAGGGCCCTCGCCTCTTCTCCCTAAGTATTGGGACACCCTAATTACCCCAGGGCCACAACCCAGTGCATGTTAACATGTACCGCCAACAAAAATAAATAAAAATAAATAATATTTTGGACCTGTAGCCTTCTGTAGGTTCCTCTGTCTCTTCTGTTGGCTCCTCACTTGGATCTGCCTCCTCTGGCTGTGTGTTCTCTGCTGATTGGCTGTCCACTTGGTTACAATCCTCCGTCTTGCTCTGGTCCAGTGAGTCAGAGACGTGTTTCAGGGCGCACTCCACCGTGGACACCAGCGCCTGCACCGCCTCCAGCTCCGCAGACGACGGGTAGATGGTCGAGTGCTTCGCCATGACGTGACGGTCATCGTTACTGAATGAACGAAAAGACCTCTGCAAACACAAAAAACACAGAGATGAGACGGCGTCCACCTGTTGGGATTTTTGTTTGTTTGAACAACATAAAAAACAAGTCTTAAACAATACATAACATACAATATAAATGGGTTACACAAAAGGAGTTGAAAAAAATCGGTGGATGCATGTGCAATGCTGCTAAAACAGATCAAAAAACACACAGGACCTTCTTATTGTGAAGCTCCAACCACTGTGCCAACCAAATGGTCCTTCTGAATGTTATAATTCTTCTTTCTATTACAAATTAATTTAATTGAGGGAATAAACTAAATGCAAGCAAGCAAGCAAAGTTTATTTATATAGCACCTTTCTCAGACAGAAGGTCACAAAGTGCTTCACATCAAAAACAAGCAATAATTAAAAACACAAGAAAAAATTACACAATCAAACAACAGTGGAGACAGTCATATCAGCCCATAAAACCGTACTTTCAACATGGCATTCAAGGTCAATATATTTTTTTATAGAACATTTCAACACTAACTGCCCAGAGTGCTTTACATGCACAACAAAATGGTAAAAATGCAAAATATAGATGTGAAATATTCAACAAATTTCAAGTCAATTACGGTGACTAAAGTCTTTAAATACTTGTTTAAGTTCTACTAAAGTCCACGCCTCTGCAAATATGACATATGGAGTGGCTTGTTCCATTCATCTGTTTAGGCTGAGTATTGTTTGAGCAAGACATACAATTTACAATTTACAATACAGCATTCAACGGAGTACTTTTAACTGTAAAATACCGACATTGTTCAACTGGCTCATATGGCCATCTTATTGGATCAACGCAACCAAACAGAAAATGTGCCAAAAACAATCAGCTCCCAGTTTCATTTTGCATTCATTTTAAAAGGATCTAACTCGTGTTCATATGTCTCATTACTTGTCCGACCTTGTGACGCTGTATTCCCCTGCACGCTCTCTTTGATTGGCCGATCAGTCTTAACTTGTTCCAGTCACTTTCTAATTTTAAATCTGTATTTAAGACACCATCACATGACTACAGGTGCAGTAAAGGATTCAGGTTAGCTTAGCATTAACCTAAGGGCGGCACGGTGGCTGAGTGGATAGCACTCTCGCCTCTCAGCAAGAAGGTCCTGGGTTCGAATCCCGGTCGGACCAGGGCCTTTCTGAGTGGAGTTTGCATGTTCTCCCCGTGTCTGCGTAGGTTTCCTCCGGGTACTCCGGTTTCCCCTACCACTAAAAATATGTCCAATAGTTCTGGCATGCGCCTCCTGTACTGGCCCCGCTCCCATCTCTGTGTGGAGTGAGAGACAAATGCCCAAAATTAACAATTGTAAACCGCTTTGAGACTCAGATCTGCAGTGAAAAGGCGGTATATAAATAAAAACTTACTTACTAAAACTTACATTAGCATCCCAGAAGCACAGAGTCAAACCCCCCCCCCCTGCCCTCCACCAAACCCAACTCCCAGAGCACATGAACGCTGCTGCTGTAAAAACGCAGTCTGTGACGAAGCATCAGAGCTTGAAATGTGAAAGCATTACACTACATTAGGGCTCAAGTCTGTGAGAGAAGTACTTCCTTCCCCTAACAAACTTGCAACTAGCAAAACTCGACTGCCGCTGCATTACAGAGCCCTGGCTGCGTCCCGAGTCTTCTTATACAATGCCTTTTCCTCATCTGATTTTCGTTTCTGTGCCACAACAGGGCGAGCGGGTAATTTCGGTTCAGCCATTGTGGGTGTTTTAGAAAATCCAACTCAATAACAACTGAGACAGGTGCGCGCACTCAAAGCAAGAGGGGGATGAACGCATCCCATTGGTTCAAAGGAGGGTGAACGCTCTACGTTCTACCGGTCCGCTCAAAAATATTTATGATTTATTTTTTTAGGCTCCAGGCATCTGGTCATGTCCATTCCTATTATAAAACACATGATGACTCGACTACTATTGGGGATTAGGGACGTTTCCCCACAGTTTGTTAAAAAATGCGTCTGGATAAATCATTACTGCATCTTTTCTCTAACCCTATGTTTTTAAAGTGCTCTACAAATAAAGTTAGATTTGATTATATTGGAAAAAAGGGTTTGTGTAATTGTCTGTTGTAGATTCACTGGTGAATAGGACATTGATGAATAACAACATGTTCAATGGAAAAGGATTGAGATAGCAGAAAATAACAGATCCAAAAGATTTATTTTGATCTATCCTTCAGCATCAAAGTTGAATTTTAAATAAACCTTAAAAGTTTATCTTCAAAAACCAGCCGTTTATTTTATTTATTTTGACTTTACTATCAAAGACTGTGCACATGAATATTTAAAGTGAGTCTTTGCGACAATCAACATTAGCATTAGCAGAGATGTCTAAGTGGCAGTACTGCAAGTTGCAAATGGTGAAAAGAGTTTGTTTACCTGTTTAAAGAGAGTTTTAAATAAAATAATGAAAGGCATAACATTTCATGACTTCCTCTTAATGTGAGGAATCATTCTGTTATAGCTCTAGAGCAGATGAAAAGCACACATTTGTGCTCTATTTCTGTTCTTGTATTTTTAAACCTTTTGATGACAAATATATTTCAACAAAGCACAAATAGATTGTTTCATGTGTGAATACAAAAATGTGCGATGTCATCTGTCAACTGCGTATCTACATAAAACATTTCTGTGCCGCCTTCAGAGGAGGACATGTCTCTTAAAAGGAAAATAATCCATTTTTAAATGAACCCGTTTAGAAGCGCTGACCCAAAGCTTGCATAAACAGACATATATGTGCAGAGCATTTGTCCTCTGTATCTGCCCTAATTCAGCACAACACTCTACTCTGGAAATACATGTCCACTACTTTTTTCTAGTGCGTACCAAAAAACTAGCTGGATCTCAGGTGGGCTACATCAAATGAGGCTATAGCCCTGAGGAGGCTGAAAGGGGATGTAGGAAGCAGGAGATAAAAGGACGTAAGGAGAGGAGTGCCATGAGTCGAGTTAAAACAGACGAGACGAGAGGAGAAAGAGGAGCAGGTGTAGCCCAGGTCCTTTCAACATGCAATCTGCAATTAGGGCTCCACAGATGGGTCCTGTGCTTCTGCTGGCTCAGAGAGAGTCAGACTTTGTTGTTAGAGTGAACGGTATGCCAACAATGATAATATCTCATTAGATCAACATTCATTCTACAGCTGCCCAATATGAGAATAACAACTGAATCTTTAAAGCTACCTAATCTAATAAAATCCATGCTAGTTTGGTTCTATCACTAACTAGTGCTCCGGTTTCCCCTTCCACTAAAAACATGCGCAATGGGTATGAATGTAAAGAGTGAGTGAATGGATAGTGTGGGTTGGGGGCTTTGATGCACCAGTGTGTTTGGCGTCTCGCTTCTGTCTACACCGTATGGAGCGAAGGGAACAATATCTGAAACATTATAAAGCGCTTTGGGGTTTACAAAGTGTGTCAAAGCATCTTGTCGTCTGACCAAATATAAATACTTTTTCTCTTTTGACGTTCTAATCTTAAACATGAGGTTAGCTCTTTTCAATGACCTAGCTTGGACTGCCCATGGAGAGAATTGTAGAAACAGTAGTCTGCATCCAACTCATCTAAATGCAAAAGTACGAGCTGTAAGCATGATGGGCCAAAGGGTTTCTGAAAGATAAGAATGAAAAAGAAAACAAATACTTGTTTCAGGATTTTAAATGCAGACTAGAAAGAAGCTGAAGACAAAATAAAGTAAGGAAAGTAAAACAAAACACTGTTTTAATGAAGGTGAGATAAGACCACTACATGCAGTCTTCATCTTACAAGAAAACATTCATCTTTTGCATATGTCACTCTTTGACACTAATAAGGTAGTCCCTAACCCTCTCTTTATTGATGTTGAATTTCTAAAAAAGCAGTTAAAAAGATGTGAAGGAGGCTAAAGACACATGCATAAAATACTTCCAACTTTTCCAAAATATAACAGCAAGGATCGTAGCAGGCACTATAATGAGGGAACACATAACTCCAGTGTAAAAATCACTCAAATGTACAATCCTCCTTTAACAAGGCTATGAATGGTATGGCTCCCTCCGGCCTCCAAGACGCATTAGAAATGTTTGATTCTCTGATTTGTAAATTCCTCTGAAACGACTGCTTTTGTGATTTAGGGCGGTACAAAAATAAAAGTAAGTAACTGGAATTGAGTATAAAAGTTAAGTACCACAGCTTTCGTTATCTTTGTAGATATGTTTGTATTGACATGTTATTTATATTGCACGGATGCAGAATGTTGGTCTAATGAGAGCTTGAGAGAGATTTGATTGGGCTGAAAAGCTAATCCCTTGTGAGAGAATTGTTTGGAGAACCAGCAACATGACTTGGATTGCATATTTCTGTTTAGTGGCTTGAATGTTGTTAGGTACCTCTTTAATCATGCAACACAGTTTACCAGTAATGTTGTCCTACGTTCATACCAGACTCACAAGTGATAAACAAATGTGAAGGGACAGAATGAGAGAATAAAAACCCTTGTATGAAAAACATTCGACTGCTAACCTGTAGTCTGCAAAGATCTTCAAGGAACACCATCTATAATTCTCTCTGCTCCCCCCTTTAGAAATTGACATGTAGTAATAATGCATCGGTTTTATAAAGCGCTTTTCTGGACTCCATGGGTTAAAGTTGAAAAAATTCCTGAGCCTGAACCATCTATATGAATCATAGAATGATCACTAATAAGCGTTTTTTATAAGCGCCTTTATACGCTCATACATATAATTTATATCTATTTAATGCCAACAACTGATGTTTATTATAAACATCAGTTGTTGGCAATAAATACATCATCCAGGGGTTAAAGCAAAAAAAAAAGATTTGACTGAAAATTTTCTCATGGAAATATAATGAATTACAGATCAAACGAATTCTTCAAAGATATACATTTAAACTGGTGTATTTTGATGTGAAATTACAACCAGTGGATCAAGCAACTTGTCAACTCTTTGACAGAATATTAGTGAGAGTAGTTCATCTGC